TAAGCGAATGCGAGAGATCGACAGCCGAAAGTGGTGCTCCAGCGTGCCGAGCCCGTATCGTGACTCTCGTTTTCCCATTGTTTCTGCGAGCGACGTCGAGCACGCGGCCGAATAATAAATGCGATCTTCCCGCTCACTCTCACTCTCGCTCTTTCTCTTTCTCTCTCCACTCACAGAGATCCAGCTCGGCCGTGGACAATGGCGATCGAATGTACGAACCAAAACGGAATTCCTCCATTACCTCTCTCTACCCTTGTCAATTACGCGTCGCGCCGCTGCCGCAGAGGTAAAAAGAAGGAGGGAGGAAAAAGGAGAGAAAGAGAGAGAGAGAATTTGTCGTCTCCTCCGTCGCGATTCTTTTCCCTCGCTTATTGTTTTGTCCCGATTATGCTCCAGAAAGCCACTCGATTAACGTCACATGGGCATACACGCGATTATGACACGAACGCCCGGATCTTCATTAACGCGTCGGCAGCCTCTACATCGCGGATCGCGTTTCAAGTGCTTGTGCAATAATATAGCACCGCTTTCAGGAAGAGACTACTCGTTGAAATCTTGTGGAAATGTGATGAATCCTAATGTCCCCTTTATTTTAGCATAAAAATATTTTTCCTAATGATGACACATTACCTTCCTGTTTTTACAACACAATTTGTTTAATATGAAATATATTAATATAATTTCCTTATATTTAATTTTCATCTTTATTACATATTTGTTATTCTTTTTGGAATTAATTATTCATCTATTGGATTAAATACACACGCATTTATATTTATAGTTAAGTTTTATCTTCATTATATTTATTATTTTTTTTAAATTAATTATCCATCTGTGATATTGGATTAAAAATATTTCCAGCCAATTTATAAATATATACTTCAAAATTTGTTTCAACCCAAAGCGTTTTATTCGGTTCAGGATTGATACGCGACAGAACATGAAGTTCAAGGGTTCCCGAGCGACGTAACACAAGTACACTCGTCTCGATTACTGCAATTGCTGCGATTCACGAAACGTAATTAAGTAGGATGGACGCGCAGAATGATGATCGATAGACGCTCGCAATGCAACCGATTACGGCAATTAACGGAGACAATTTACAGAGACAAATATGAAATTAATACTTACGCTTGTCTCTGTCATAAAACGGTCCCACGGTACCATTAACCGCACGCAACGCATACGAGAGTATAAACGTATGTGTACACGTACAATACTGACCGATAATTCCGGGATCGACTTGGACAGAGGAGTATTACTGCTGCAATTATTAATTGTGGCCATTGTGTCGAGAAATCAGGTATTTCGACGTCCTAAATTTTAGACCAGTCGCATATCACGAAATAGGTATGGAGATGCAAGACAGCACGTAATAGGGAGAACGTGCGTCATTGTATGTGCCGATTGAATTGAATTGCTTTGTCAATCATTATCAGAATTGTCAATTCATTGGTTTTGATCGAAATCGTTGGGCAAAAGAAAAAAATCCATTTGAGATCTATATAAAATTTTTTTCTTTATTACGTATATGTATGTTAATCACATTACGATTTAATGTTCCTGACTATAATGTTTTGTAAGTATTAATCACGTGTATGTTTTATTATGCAACATTTTTTGGAAAATATTTTTCCATTTATCGCTTTGATAATTTTGGTCATGATTATACAACTTGTTTACCTCGAAACTAACAGGTGAAACCAATAATAGCATCATATCAAAATGAAATCTGTATACAAGCGATGTCTATTTTTTTCTGATTTCTATCTTTCGAAAAGTTTAGTATATGATATATTTATTATAACATGTCATTTGATTTTCTCTTTTTCTCTTTAGATAACACAACATAAAACTTAATGACGTGTAAGCATACATTTATCTCTCAAGATAATGCAAATGCGATTTTATATAAGACTGCTCTAACAGTATTTGGAGTGTTGGGATCAAAGGTTCACGCTGCTGTGAGAACTGATCATCCCAGCATGGCAGATCTTAAACTGTCACCTCGATGAGCAAGCACGGGTATTAAACGTGCCAGAAAACCACTTTAAATCTTCTCTCGAACTAATCGTCAATGCAAGATCAAGAGATGCGATCTTGTCTCGTTCCTTTCCATCCTATTTCATTCCGCTCCATTTCAAAAAGACATATTACAGATTTAATATATTTTTATTAATTAATACTTAATTAATAATTAAGTATTAATTTTTTATGCAATGTAAATATGAGAAATTTAGATTTATATTATTAAATCAATTATTTAATTATTACTGCACCGAATTAACGTCTATGAATTGTATTCTTTGAGAAATGAATGCGCATCATGTTAAGCTGTTATGTCCGCAATTTATAATTCTGACACGACTTGCTGCCCGCGCGCACTAGAGAAAAAATAATTTTAGAACATTTGTACTTTTTAGTGTATATTTTTTTGTAAAGTACTGTCACTTTGTCTAATCTATTTTTTAAGTTTTATTTTTGAAAAGAATTACAATTATTTATTAGACTATTTTCTAAATTCTTTTTTTAATTAAACATTGGATTTCGCTCGCTATCAGGGAATTATTTTAGATGCAAACATCGTTTTACAGAATTGAACGGGGTAAGGTTCTTGGAAAGGAATCTCTCGATGCCGTGGCATTCGGAGAAGCCATCTGTCTTATTGCCGATGCGCGCCATTCGTCCCTTCTTATTCCTCGCGTGTTTACGTATGAAAATGATGCACTTCGTGAAGGACGAGCTTGGCGTATTCTGCTTCTCAAACGCATTCGACTGCACGAGGGTCCGTCTCGCAGAAGTGACCCGCATTATGCACACCCCCTCCCCCCTCCCACCGTTCTCCTGCTGTTATTATCCTTCTCCATTCGAAAGACCATCTTGCGAGATCATTAATCTCTTATACCTAGAAGCCACCATCAAGAAGATTGCATTTGGAAAATATGATATCAGAATATAGGAGTAAAATAAAAAAAATATGAATGCGAACAATTTCTTTTAACATAATTATTTTTCATAAAACATTTCGAGAGAGATTATTGATTTTATTTTTAAGTAAAATTTTTTTTATTCCTATAAATAATATGATATATTTATATATCGAATTACATATTACTTCACAGACGATGTTTATAAAGAAAGAGTTTTTTTAATCCTGATATACGCATGAATTACTAATTCTCTGAAAATCGAAATTTTGTTAATCTCTAAAAAAACAGACAAAAAATATAAAGCTAATTAAAATAATATATGTGTAAGTAGATATGAGATAATTTGCGGGAAAAAACAAGATAGATACTCTTTTAAAACATTAAATTTTTTAATTTTAGTGCTCTTTTTTGCTCTAGAACTAGTAAACTGTACGTTATAAAAAAGCTATTTTTCACGAATTTCATTATTTTAGAAATTGATGATATTTCATTTTAATGAGATTTTGATAACATATTTAGACACGTATATATTCTGTTATACATATTTACATTTATAATTAATTATTATTTAATTTATGATTATATGATTATAGTGTTAATACCGGTAAATAGTTTTGATGTTTATTCGTACATAAATTTATAACTGTGCATACGAAAATGTTATATGCACAAGTTATATTGTGTGAAACGCGAACGATCATAGGTGAGTTGAAGCAAGTCACCCTCTCCCTTTCTGTCCCGCAGGTGTGGGTAATAGTTGTGCACTTACGTGCATGCGCCGGAATGTTATTAAGCATGATAATAATTCGAATGGAATATTGCAACCCCTCATAGCAACCGATCGCGACGATAAGAGCGAATTAATTCTGTAATGATGCTAGCTTTGCTAAGGTGATCTTATTTGCGTCACGCAGGTATACAGCAGTTATAATTTATTCTTAATTATTCAACTTATCTATTCAGAAAAATGCAAAAAAGTGTAATGTATTTTTATTTTGGAGTATAATTTATTTTCTCCTTTTCCCTAGGAAGTTTTATTAAAATGTTTCAAACAAATACTCATGAAATGACTTCGATATAGGTTTGCTTATGTAACTTGTTAAAAATTTGTTATTAAAATCCATTTTTCTTAAAATTTTATAACAAATTGTATTGTTAAAATATTTAGTGTTAAAATCAGAAAGATTTGGCAATTTTTTTAAGTTGCATAAATGTAAATAAATAGCAGATTCTTATTATTCTGAATTTCTGAATTTTTCTGAATTTTTATTTCTGAATTTACTTTAATTCGACGGAAATTTAATTCATTTGATTTGGGATAAATTTAAAAAATATAAAATTTAAAACAAAACTATTTTGTCACATTATTAATATTTTATTTATAGTTTTTTTCTTTCTTTTATATATACGACAATATACATGTTACATTGATTTTAATATAATGGAATTATTTTTGCCACCGACAATTCTAATATTTACATCACTGAAATCAGTTATATTTAAATTCACATAAGCTCGAATCTCATTCATTAATGTCGTTAAAGAATCTCAACGAAATGAAAGTATGGGTTGATCTCTTGTAAAAATATTGCGAATAGCATAATCAAATGTAGCTATAGTTAGCAGATATTATCAATAATTTCTTGTAATTACTTCTTTCATATTCATTACGTATTATTTGCAAATGACATTATTACAATATGTCAATTTGTTTGATCGTGATTCAATTGATATATTTTCTAATTTAGTTATCTAGGTTTTATTTCTATCTATATAAATACTTTATATATATACATATATATATATATATATATATATATATATATATATATATATAGTAACATGTATATTATACACAATTAATATTTCTTATTGGATTGATATATTTAAAGATATTATCTTGACAATATGAAATAGGTGATTTTGACATATTTATTAATTTTGATATTATTAATTAATTAATTTTTTTTTTAATTTTTATTATTTGCTATTATTTTATTTTATTATTTGCTAATCTGTATATTATTTACAACATTGTTTATATATTTTGCATAATTTTTATCATTTTAGAGAGGCGAATGGTGACGGTAAATAAGGATTTTATTTAAAATCCCTAGAAGAGCTGTGTCGAGGGAACTTAATTGTTGGGCCAAGGGCGAGAACGATTTCATGAATGGCGTGACGAGTCAACGAATGGTAAGATTTTAATGAAAAACCTGGCTTAAAATCCGCCCTTTTCTTCGACAAACACCAATGTTCTGAGATTACACGTTTGAACGCGATATTCTAATGGCTGACAGGCAGCTGGTCTTTCTCGTGCACTTAGTCGAATGGGTTAAAACTACGGTTATTTGCGGTGCACTCCAATCGAATTGCCTACCGTTTGCATAATCTCCTTCATTGCATTTGTCCGCATCCGCACGCCTTTCTTTCGCCGATTTTCTATCCCTTAGACGTCTTTTCCTCCCTTCTCGATCGCTTTCGTTTTTTCACGTCCAGGCACATTCTCCATCCGCGAAAACGACGAAATTTCTTTGTTCGTTCTGGCGAAAAATTTAAACTCTACGATCATGTTTGATTTATATTTCTCGATCGATCGAATATCACGATAACAAATTATTCTCTTCGTTCACTTTGAAGAGCTCGATCAAACTTCAAAACGATCAACACAAAACGAATGATCGTCGCGAACGAATCATCTCAATTACGACTTTTTGTCCGAATTGAATTTCCGTAAATCGGATTGCATTTATGCAAACTTGACGATGTCGGTGACTTCAGGTATATGTGTCGCGCGATGTTTTTAAAGGAAAACAAATGACGTACTATGATCGCCTTGAGTTTTGCGCATAACCGATTTGAATAAATTTCCACACAGTCGTAAAAATTGCCAGGCTTGTTTCTGACGTACTGAAATTGTTTTCACAGCGTGAAATAAAAATATTTGTTTCGAGAAATTTATAGGTCTTCAGTCGGATATATTTTTCATGCGGAAATTCTATTCCGTATAAAATAATGTATATAAAGTGTTTCTCTTCATATGTGAAATCTTTTATTTTAAAAGGGAAAGAAATTAAATTACAATTTACAATTAAAAGGTCGTACATAATTCGTAAAATCAGTTAAAGTATAGTTGCAAGCTTTTGTGCGAAATTTGATGCTCGTAAATTTAATGAAACTCTGTAGTTCGATGTAAAATCATTTCGTGTTATGAATAGTATCGCGCGCGCACAAAGCGATAACCGTTAATAGCCATAGTAATTGTCCACTCTGCGTGTTATTAATACAACTTAATTACTAGCAAGCAATCTGCGGTATATATTCTCAACAATTCCAATCGGATGGGACGTGTAATAGTCCTGAATTCACAGAGTGCTATGAAAGCCCGAGCGCTTTGCGCGCGAATTGCATCGGTTACGCTAAGTTTGTCGCGTTACGTGAGTCGACACGAAGTTCTTGTTAAATTACTCCCGCTTGTGCGATCCCGAAATACGTATGTACATATATATACATAAAATATTATACATGTATATGTGTGTGTGTGTGTATGTGTGTAATATTATATATATATATATATATATATATATATATGTGTATGTGTGTGTGTGTGTGTGTGTGTGTATATCAGTGTATATCCTTCAAAGTGAAAATTTCCCGCCGGGCGTTCGCTTTAAACATCGCTGAATATTTATGATCTCAATCTCTTTTCAGCCTACGGTAAAACGAGGTTTACCTCCGTAATAGCGATGGGGTATCCGCGATGACTTTAATAACTAGTTAGCGGATTAATTACGTCACTTTGTCAACGTTAATTTACCTATTAAGCACTTATCGGCGGAATGACACATCACGGACGAGCGGCACAATTATTCATTATGCTAATTGCACGCAATGTTGCTATAGATAAATTTTACTCGATTTTTCCGATCGTTTAAAGTTAGCCGGGATATTTCAACATTTATCGTTATTCTCACGACATAAAGGACCATTCTATTTCGCAACTATTTAAAATATCATATCGGAATCTTGATATTGATTGAAATCTCAGCATTATGTAAAAATGAAATCTCAGCATTATGTAAAAGGAAACTTAGATTTATATTCCATAAAAAGTTAAGAAAATCTAGAAAGATTAAAGCTTCACAGTGCGCGGTCAAAAGGCAACATGCAAATCGTGGACGTTAAAATAGTAAGAAAAAAAATAAATTATGCAGAATGTGAGCGAGGATAGTGGAGGGAAAGGTGGCAATGGGAAATCGCCATTCCGGCGAGATTAAAGCTGTCTTACCTGTCGTCAGAGAAGAGCAGAATAGCACCGACAGTAGTACGAACTGCATTTTAGTCAGACACTTGCCGCACCTGGAGCACGATTCGTCGCCGAGCGAAGTGGCGCTCCAATTCTTCGTCTTCACCCTCGAGTACTTCATCGTTCACTTGACATTTGTGCGCGGGGAAGAAGAGGGGAGGATAATCGTGGCCGTTTGTACCGTCGAGAAAAAAAAAGAGAGTTAGAATCTGCACCTCAGAATTTGCACCGACGGAAATTTTCACTTTAATCGCGTCCACAATGTTCTTTGATTTCCGCATTCAAAGAGATATGATAATGCTACGTGTTTTTCGAGAAAATTATCAGCATTCTCGATTTTTCAGTGCATTAGGTATGGACAAAATTGGAATGCTGATGAATCGATCGAACTAACGAAATTTCTTCGCATTCGTCCTTTTGTTTTCACGCGACGTTTCTCTCGCGTTTTCGGATTTTCGTGGAAATATTCTCTATGTGTTTTTTAAGAAGATCCAAAATACCGATCGCGCCATTTAATATGAAAAAAATTCCATCTTGCGTTCTTGGATTTAACGGAATGCAAGGAATTTTTCGCTGTTCTATTGCCGTGATTTATTTTTTCACGATCTTAATCTTTTCAATTTTATTTCTCGAGAAAATCGTAGATATCAGTTGGCCGTAGATGCCAGATAGAAAATAGTTGTTATATCACTCTCTTTCTCTTTCGCTCGAGTTTCATCAAAATTAAATTATCGCGTTAGACTTCTTGTCTAACGTTCTCGCGATTTATTTGATCAACGAAGAAATTCTCTCAATTTTTCACGAAGGGAATGTTTTTCGTCGCCACGTGTTCTAAAGAAACCACAGCAATAACCGCACTCAGCTTTGGTATATCCGCGCGAAAGCAATTTCGCTATTACTCCAGCTTATTTCGGTCATTCGGTAAGGGTCTTCTCGAGCTTAACGATTCTTCCTTTTATCGTTAGTTGTTGGACGATGAGCGCTGCTTTCGTCGTAAACGGTGTCCCATAATGTTTTTTGTTCTTCGCAACTTGCTTCGGGCCTCCCCTGGGGCGCGTTGACGAACTTTTTACGCAAACACTCGACATGCGTTTTCTTTGTCTCTTTTTTTCTTTTTGCATGCGATGTTGCCCAGGTATGCGTTACACTATGGAACATATACGTATATATTCCCGTCAAAGGAATCACCCTCTCGCGACACTCGTCGTTTCTCTTCACATCCTCGACTCGTCTTCGTGATGAGCGGATTAACGCTATTCTCTCCGTCTTCTTCGATATGCGCTAATTAACACGAAATAATTACTCGTCGAAGCGCGAAACGCCTCGAGAAGTCAGGTTTTGCATCGAGTCGTTTTTGTTTCTTTTCCCGAAGTTGGACGAGCGCGCTCGAGATGAAAACAAACGAGATGTTTTCCCTCACCAATGGTTTTTCATCGTTGATTAACCGGCTCTTTCGCCGGCCGCGACTCGTTAGTTATCAAAGCGAAAGCTTTCGCGCGAAGAAGCGGCACGAAACTTCTCGTAAATTTCATCCAGCTTCCGCAATCATCCTCTGATGTGCATCCGGATTCTTTGTTATTTTTGTTCTTCTTGTTATACGATGACAGGAAGAAAAATGGATCGTCGGAGATCAGCGACCGTAAATTTTCGTTTGTATTAATTTCGCGGTTTAATGAATTTTTCGCGATTTTTTCCAACAGTGTGATTTTTTACACAGATCGAAATTCTTCCCGATATTTGCGAATCTTTGCAAAAATTCGTGGATAATGCGACTTGATGCAAATTCGTACGCGATGCAACACTACCCACGTGACACTTTAGTCTCTAGCCACGTGTTCCGATCGCGATTGTTCACCTCTATCTTCTTTCGTCGTATATATTCCTTTTGCAAACGCGATTCTTTGCACATTTGATTGGTTTTAATCCTTTCATTAGTAGATTCTCATGCGTATCCTCGCGAACACACTGTCACTCTCAAATACACACGCTTCATCGATTTCGATGATTGGAATTGAATCTTTTGGTATAAATCTTATCAGACTCTTACATTTCACATTATATTAGCGCACTTTTTTATAACAATCTTTTTTCGAATTTTCTTACAAACAAATTTCATTTAAAAATGATATGTCACAATATTCCAATTATGCTTATTCTTCTTCACTAATTGTAAGAATTTGAGACGAATAAATTGGATCTTATAAACATATATAATACCGCAAATTCGCATGCGGGTGAGCTGTGGCAGTATATATTATTGCAAGTATCCCCGAGAACCTTTACCATCGGCAGTTCGTAGTTGACAGAAACCCTTGGCGGGAGCGATACGACGAATAAGGTGCCACTCCCACCCGCGCATGCTCCACCACTACTCTTCGAATCGTGATCCCCCTCCTGCTGCTTATTTTCTCCTTTCCTGCTCGTCGTGCCTTTCCCCTTTCGCGTGATCCCCCTATTTACTGCGTTTTCAAATCATTTTCCTTCTCTCTCTTTCTCTTTGCTTCCCTCTCTCTCCCTCTCCTTCCCTTTTCCTCTGTTAAACTTTCCTCCCCTTCACGTTCTCTCTTTCCCTCTTGATCCCATCACCGCATAACCGCACGTGATCCCCGTCAGAATGGGGTGATCTATAAACCAATTAATTTGGATAATAAACTCGGCCAAAGGGCGACCAATTCGGACCCTTGTCTATCCGGAGAACATACCGCTGAATACCGCTTTTAGCGACTGTCTTGGACTTGACTCGCCTTTATTCGATATAGCAAATCAACTCATCATATTAAAAATGGTGTTCCTATCTCGTTTGTCGAGTAGGCCTAATTCTTTAGCCATGTATGGTGTGTCAGGAGAATCTATCGTCAGAATAAAACAATGAATTTACGAGATACGTCTTTTTTTGTTTTTATGCGTTCAATTAATATAATATAAAAATTTATCGCTTGCATCTGTGATTTTATATCAAGATACACTATTTGACATGATGGTTCATAACTATTCTCAAAATTAGTCAATTATTTTCGAAACCTTTGTAAAAGCTCCATAAACTTTGAATGAGAAACATTTGTTATTACATTAGGCAATATTGATAATATTGAAATGGAAATAAATACATTCGTATTTATCGAGATTAATTTAAATAAAGAATCAAATAGCAGAGAAATATAAATAAATAAATAAATAAATAAATAAATATATATATATATATATATATATATATGTATACATGAAGCCTGAGGTACCGCGCATTCTGATGACCACCACGATCAGTTTTAATTTGTTAAATGTATTCATCGCTCTCGTCCGTATTAGAGCGCGGCACGTCTAGACGCCGCTTGCATAAGTTTCGCGATGGCGTCGTCCCTCATTCCCCGGGTCCAATGAGGGATTATTAAAGAAAGGCGCTCCTAGTAGGCTGCGTAATAAATCAATTAGCTTAAATAAGGAGGCCTCGCGCGCGTAGATGGGGAGCGGCGACGTCATGTCCTGTGAAATAACGCTGCTCTTTACGCTCTCGCGCTTCATTATTATGGGCCGCACGGCCGTGGGTGAGAACCGACCACCGTCGATTGCGCCGATAAATTAATTGCGCGCGATCGATTAATTAAAATGCCGACGCACCCGCCAACGTGATACCAATGCCGAACGACGTGGGATTTCGATGTAGGTACGCCGGTGTGATTCGCCGGCGGTAAATAACGAAAGCCTTCAAGTTGTGCCACAGTTACCGCTAACCGCGAACGGTTAACGTCGATACCGAATACGCGCTCGCGTTATTTCAATCAATGGAGCGCCGCGATCGATTCTCCGCGCCAGTCATTCTGTTCCGATCATCGTTCCGATCACTCTGGCCTCGCAGCGATTTGTCGGCAAATAGATCGGCTCGATAGCGAGCCGATTTATATTCGCTTGTGCCATTTGGCGAAAAGCGAACGGATTTCGCGCGCCTAGTGTGCTTTCAACGCGTTTACATACATTCGACGATCACGCTGTCCCACGAATGACGGTCGAGAATTATCCGTTGCATAATACACGTCGCATCCCGTTGCAGGATGCTTGCCTGGATACGAGTTGTTGATGAATGAATTAACATACTAATTACATGCCCCGTCGAGTATGCGATTTCATAGCTTTGATAACTTCGCAACAATGTTGCTGCGCGATTTCATAGCTTTTGGTAGCTTTGCGAATAATACGAATCTTTCGTACTATGTTAAATAGATCGTGACGCTTTTGTCTTCCTTCAACATGTGTTTGCGTTTCTATTTATATAGTATAATAGGATAGATTTGCATCAATGTAAATTTAATTGGATAACACGGATATTTTTAATCTTTCCATAAAATAAAGTATTTTTTCTCATGTACATTTTTCTGGCATCACAATAAGATAAATATATTTTCGTATCAATCATTATCGTCGAGATTGAAAAAGAAACGTAAAAAATGCAATATATTGTTTAAGTGGCTGCATATGTTAACTTTAGGAAATCCAATTAAAACTGTGATGAATAGTAGGCGCGTGAATAGTTTGAACAAGCCACGCATTTACTCTTGTTTGTCCGAAAATTTTTAATTCAACATTGGAGCGCGATTTTTGTTGTACGTTTTATTGACAAATTGGACACGAAAATCGTGAACAAAAGGGAAAAAGAGAGAAAATTAATGCGATCCATAAGCCAGTCTCGGCTTGTTTATCGTGCCATCGATTTTGCTCGAACGTCCGATTGCTCAGAAAAAGCCCCGGAAATACGCTTCTCAATTATCCCAGTAGAAGCTATATTCAGATCGCTTATGTAGACAAATAATCGTCTTTGTACGCTCAATTGCATAATCTCAGTGAGATATTAAAAACTTGTATAATATAATCTTCTCTTGATTATAATATTCTTTCTTATTTATTATTCGTTTTCTTTTTATGTCAAATATATTTCTAATTAAATACGAAATTATTACATCTTCCTCTAATTACTCTCGAAATCTGATCCTGAATTGAATCTAAAAGACTATCCGCAGAATCCGAGATTTGTGGTTTTAGACATACATATTTAGTTTCTCACTCGCAATGTAATGGAATTCGTCAAGTAAATGTTCATTCGGATTTACCTCGCAAGCCGGCTTAACTACATAATACGTTATCGGACGCATCTGGCATTTTTCTTTTCAGTCATGTGTCGAGACAACTTTCTCCTCGGTGATTTCAAAAAACCATTTTTCGGGACAGCACTGTCCGATCCTTATCGTTCTAGCTACGGCGGAAAGTGCCATGGTGTCGAGCTAGTCTTAAGATCCCATTCGTCTCTCCGGGACTCATCTCACCGACCTCACCCTCGCAAAAGCTCGTTTATACGGCAAGCAACCCCGGCTGCGGTGGTTGCTCCTGCCTGGTAGACGCCTTCAAATTCGAGCCCGGTGCGAGGTCTCTGCCCCCGAGCCTAATCCGTTCTCCCACCTTCTCCATGGAGCGATATCCGTGTAGTAATGGCTCGCCGACCATTACATCACACGAGCTGTGAAAATTAATAGATTAAAGTTAAATTTTTATTTTATTTTTCGAACTATTTTTAAATTTGAAATCTCTAATAATGTTATATAATTGCTTTTATCTTTGTCTTTTAAATATATATTCGACTCTAATCTTGCTATATATATATTTGACTTAATCTTGCTTGAAATTTTTAATTAAATCAAATAAAGGGAATTATTGCTAATATGATTTTGAAAATGCTATTAAATATTATATATATTTTTTAATTCCATTAAAATATATATATATATAATTCCATTAAAAAAATATATATATATTTTTTTTTAATCCATTTTATATATAATATAATATATCTTATCAATATCTATACGTTATCATTTTTATTGTTAACTAAATTTATAATTAAAGACGAGTAGAATAATTTTGGGATATTCATATGTTGACATTTATTCTTATAAAGGATCACAAACTGAGACCGCGCGAGACTATCGATGCCATCACTACTCTTGTGCTTTGCTTCCTTGTAAAGGGAGCGTACTTCCGTCTAATCTGAAAAGCCCTGTAACCCGGACTAATGGACCACGCGGGAGAGATCAATTTGTGTTACCCTCGCGCGAATTATTTTTCCGCCACATACAACTGTCCGCGCGTTTCCCATCGTATATGTACGCGCGGTATTATTGACGCGGACGCTAAAAAAAAAATAAAAAAAATGCGACGTTTATATCAGAGCCTGGCTTTATGCTTTGTGCCATTTTGTTTCTTTGTGTTGGGTCCTTTTTTCGGATATTTATAATTTATCAATAATATTGAATAGAACTTATTATTTAGACTATGTAATTATTTAGATCATATAATATTTTGACTGTTAAAATTATCAAATATTTGTGTCTTTATAAAAATTTGACATATGAATAAAATAAAAGAAAATCATGTAAGGATTAATTTTTTCAGCCTTCAAAATTTATCATTCACGTCGAGGTATATATATGATTCTAAAGCACGCAAATTGAAAACCTCGTTGACGCGAATTGAAAATCTCGTCGACGCAAATTTCGTCGGCGACCTCAACCAAATCGGGATGCAAATGGCTAACCTTTACGATAACTGTTCTACCGCATATAAATTTGAATACTCTCAAAACTGCAAAGTTGGACTCTAAACGGGAATAAGTTCGCTACACGTTTCCTTTTTGCGTAGTTAAACGAGGAATAAAACAAAAGTTTAATAGGTGAAAAACGATTATAATCGTTATCTGTTATCTTTTTGTGAAATATAGATGTTTCTTGTTTTTTTTTGCACAAGTTCAATTTGCGTGAATCTAGCTTTACACGATATCTCTCGGCAACGCGTTAATAGCATAAATCGAGAATAACACGTGTCAAACGTTTTGTTGATGCAAAGCTAGAGTACGCGATTTCATTGCGAGTTCCACCTCTCACAACATTGAAAAGTTATTTGTTTATACAATTCGACATTGCAAAATATATCTCTCCAATGTACGAGAAGAATAATAATTTCTCCGTACGAACTGCGGAAGCATTTGTTATTTTACACGATTTTTTTTCGTAAAATTTTCATATTTCTATAAATAGCCCTTGGAAATCAAGTTAATAAAACAAATTGAAAATTACGTGTATCGAATTGCATTCGCGTAGAACCAATTACAATCACATCGCGTAACCAGGATCTTATTCTAACTGTGGGTCATTAAATTAAAGAATTTATTGACCGAAACATTGAACATCGCAATAACGAGGCGAATCGATGAGTTTCTTTTTTCGGCCATCGAATCCGATGCAGATACGCACGTACACATACACAGCAACAATCGGATTTAGCTATTCCAAAGTTTAAATACATCGAAATCGAACAGGAACCGGTTGCGTTTTTATTACCCGTATTTCCCGGATAATGACCACACGCATGTTATCCCGCGTTGTAGAAAATCGAATCGCGCGTTTATATCGACCACGCCAAAAGCCTCTGGACTACAAACCGCGCGATGTAAAAGCCCAATATTGAAATTAAATAACCGGGGCTGTGCGCTCGCGTGTTGCACTAGCTCACTTGGCAAATTATCACGTTATATACACATTACGTAATATTCTATAATAATATTTTATCAAGCACCATATATAATTTCACGTATAAATAAATCTCATTTTATTTTTACGGCTTCGTTGGAACATAATTCTCATGTTATCCCTATATATATTATATATATTATTATATTATATATATATATATTA